ATCATCGTCGTCGTCGTCGTTGTCGTCGTCATCATCATCGTCGTCATCATCATCATTAGCAGCATGCTCATCGTCATGCGGTCGGGGGTCCAGGCCTGGTCAGGTCCAGGCCTGACCCTCCGCGGACCGCCTCTTTCTCCCTGCCGATGCCGAGTGGAGCGACACGACCTCCTCCTCCTCCTCCTCCTCCTCCTCCTCCTTCCTCCTCCTCCTCCTCCTTCCCCTCCTCCTCCTCCTCCTCCTCCTCCTCCGCCTCCCTCCCCCCTTCCTCTTGCGAGGGGCGGGCCGGCAGGACCTGATCGCCTTCCTGACAGGCGGCGATCCTGCGGGTCACGAGTTCCCGCTGATCCTCGAGTTCCGGGGGTCTCCCTCGGCGGAGATCCTGCTGAAGGACCCTGCGGAAGGGCCCTTCTCCTCCTCTTCCTGGCCCCCTGCTACTTGCTCGCTCATCCCTCCTTCTTCTTCTCCTTCTCCTCGTCTTATTCCTCCTTTTCTTTTTCTTCTTCATCTTCTTTTCGTTAACAACATGTTTTATACACACTGCTGGGTTTAAACAGTGCTGTTATGCTTTATTATGACCAGTACTATTGTTATACTGATTTTTCGTATTCGTAACTTCGCTCATCCATCCTCCTCCTTCTTCTTCCCCCTCACCCTTTCCCTTTCCCCCTCTCATCTCCCTTCTTCCTTCCCTCTCCGTCCCCTCCCAGCGCAAGGAGGAGGAGGCTGAGGCGAACGAGGAGGAGGAGGAGGAGGAGGCAGGACAGAAGGAGAAGGAAGATAATGAGGAGGACGAGGATGAGGATGAGTAGAAGGAGGAGGATGAGGAGGAGTCCACGGAAGAAGCAGCAGCGGCAGGGCGAGGAGGAGGAGGAGGAGGATGAGGAGGAGGAGGAGGAGGGAGTTGAGGATGAGTTGTGATGATTATGCTGCTGCTGATAGGTGAGCTGTCTCCCCGTCCCTCCTTTTGCTCGGATTCTTGCTTCGAGCTGGAGCACCTGCTGATCCACCCTCTCCTCCGTTTTCGTCTCCTCCCTTCCGCCCGCCTCCCGTTTTGCTTCCTCCCAGTCCTCCTCGTGGTTGGCCCTCGCTTTGGATGGTGCACCTGCTGATCCTTTTTCTCCCGCCTCCTCCGCTCGTCCTCGTGCTTCTGCCATTCTCCTTCCCTATCTGCGTCTTCTGCTCTTTTTTTGTTCTCTCTCTCTCTCTCTCGCTCCCGCTCTCGTTCTCTCGCTCGCTTACGATGTTTCTCCCCAGGGCGCTGCCAAGGCGTCACGACGGTCGCCGTTTTCATGCGCCCCGGGGGGGGGCGGTCAGCGGAGCGCGGTCGTAGCCAGCCCCAGAGGGGCCTCGCCCTCCCCAGAGGGCCGCCCGGCGTGCCACTGTCGCCACGCCCCTGCGCCCCCGGGGGTCTCCGCGGAGTGCGGTCTCCTCCGGGGCGCCGGGCCAGACTCTGCCTCCCCGGGTGGCGCGACGCCTGTCTCCCGTCGCCTCTGGCCGCCCTCCCTCGCCCCCCCCCCTCTCTTGCGCGCCGGCCAGTTCGCCTCTTCTTTCGATTGCCCCGAAGGAGCCGCGCGCTGGAGCGGACGGCCGCTGCCTCGGCGCCGAGGAAAAAGAACAGCCTCCGCCGCCCCTCTCCTGCGCCCCCTTGCCGAGCATTTCCTTTGGGTGGAGGGCAAAGGGCGAGATCAGAAGTGCCGTTTCGATAGGTGCTCGAGGCTTGCATCTGCAGAAGGTGCAGCCACAAGACGGATTGATCTTCGAGATGCGAAAGCCTGTATGGATCTCACCCTGGGCCCTCCACCCTATAAAATGCCCAGGCCCTGGGGGGCCCAGGCCCAGCTGTCCCGAGAGGCGCAGCCTCCAGGCCCTGCCTCGCTCCGCCTGGGTGCCGGGCAGCGGTCGCTCCGGCAACCGCGGCGCGGCAGGGCCAACACGAGCCGGCGCTGGGCGGCAGGAAGCGCCGCGAAGCCGCCGCGCGCCGCGCCCGGCCCTGCCCCAGGTTCAGGCCCTGGGGAGAGCGAGCGCGCGATTCCCGGTGGCCCAGGGAGCGCCAGCGCAGCATCGCAGCCTGCGCCCGGCGCCCCCGCTGCTCGCCCCCCCCTTGGCCCCCTCGCCGCGGCGCCTCGCCGCCGAGGCCTCCCTCGGAGGACGCCAAGCGGTGCACCTGCGCCGAGCCCGCCCAGGCCCGGCCCGAGCCCGTGACCTGGTGTACGTGCCTTCGTGGCCCAGCCAGGCGGGCGTAGAGGACGCCGGCCCTGGGCCCAGGATCGGTGCAGGCGTATGGTCAGCGTCCTCCTATCTCCATCCTCCTCTCTTGCTTATGCCTGCGCGCACCTCGCGTCCACCAGGAGCTCCCGCGCCCGCGCGCCCGCGGGCCCGCGGCCCGTGCCCCTGGTCGCCCCGCCATCGCCAGAGACAGGGGCGCAGGGTGAGGATGGGCGGTGTACAGCGACTGTGCAGAACCTGCGGAGTGTAGAGGCAGGATGAGAGGAGGCCCAGGAGGTCTTCCATCCTCCTCCTCCTCGCCCTGCTGCTGCTGCCCTCCCCCCCCCTCCCCTCGCCGAGGGCCGCGGCGCCCTGCCGCCGCCCCTCGTCGGAGGGGAACACGGGGCCCCAGGGCGCCTCTCGTCGTTTCGGCGGGGGGCGGGCGGCGTCCGTGCCGCGGCCCCGCCCGTCGCCGCCCCTCCGCCGCCGCGGAGGACGGCTGGACCCCGTGCCACGCTGCGGCCGGCATGGACCACCCCGGCCGCAGGCAGTACCGCGCCATCCTGCAGGTGCTGGTGCAGGCGCCTCCCCGGCCGGACCCTGCACCCGTCGGATGTCGGAGTCGTCGTCCTCGTCGCCCTCGTCGTCTTCGCCTCGTTCGTGCTTTGTCGTCGTCGTCGCGTGGGGAGGATGCGGATGCGAAGGAAGAGGAGCAGGAGGAGGAGGAGGAGGAGGAGGAGGAGGAGGAGGTGGAGAAGGAGAAGGAGAAGGGGGAGGAGGAGGCGGAGGAGGAGGCGGAGGCGGTGGTGGGAAAGTTGAACGATGAGGAGGAGGATAAGGATGAGAAGGACAATGAGAATCAGGAGGGAAAGAAACACACAGACACAATGAATCGTCGACTTCCAGGAAAATATGTGAAAATATGGGCAGTGGAGGGGAAGACAGAAACCCAGAAAATATGGGAAGATATGGGAATCTTTTTATTTGTGCGTATTTATTTGTGTGTCCTGGGGCCCCTTCAGAGAAGGAGAAGGAGGAGGAGGAAAACAGGAGGAAGGAGAGGAGGATGAGGAGGTGGAGGAGCAGACGCTCACAGGGTGTAGTGGCGGCTCAAGGAGCAAACAGGATGATGAGCATGAGGATGAGGGTGAGGGTGAGGGTGAGGATGAGGATGCTGAGGAGGATAATGTGGATGATGACGATGATGTTGATGATGATGATAATGATGATGATGAGAATGATGATCATGGTGGTTTTGATTGTGCTGGTGGTGATGATGATGCTGCTGATGATGGTGATGCCGATGCTGATGCTGATGATTACGATGATGATTATCCTGCTGCTGCTGATGATTATGATGCTGATGCTGATGCTGATGCTGATGCTGATGCTGATGCTGATGCTGCTGCTGCTGCTGATGATGATGATGATGATGATGATGATGTGAGAGATGATGAGATGAGAGATGGAGATGATGATGCTGATGATGCGGATGCGGACGAGGAGGAGGATGAGGACGAGGACGATGCTGATGCTGATGCTGCTGCTGATGATGCTGATGCCGACGATGATGATGATGGTGCAGATTATGCCTCTTCTATTCTCTGTGAGCAAGCTCCTGCTGTCTCCGCAGCTTCTCTGCCCAAGTGCCCCCCGTCGGCCGCGCGTGCGGGCGCCTTATGCAGGCGGTCGCACAAGCGGCTCTCCAGGGCGCTGGGGAGATTTTGGTCAGGGGGCTGCGGGCCGCGCTCTACGAGCGGCTCGTGGCTGCCCCCCTCTCTGTGCTTCAGGACCAGGGGCCTCCATCGCCTGCCTGGTCCATCCAGCAGGCGGACTCGTCCTAGGGTGAGGGGGCCTCCTGCCCTCTCCCTTCGGCGGGTTCCACCTGCCCCACCGTCTGCCTCGGGCTGGCGGTGGACCTGAGCTGCGGGGTCTCTCCCTGGCTGCTCAGCACGGTCGCCGCCCTCCTCTGGGTGACGGCCGCCTGCAGCGCCTGCGCGGGCTGCTGCCTCGGGCTGCTGGGCCCGTACGTGTGGCGGAGGCTCTGGCCCTCCGCCTGGCCGCGCGGCGCGGTTTCTGCTTCACCTGATCAGGACCGCCGTGCGGCGCGAGCGCTGGCCTACGGGGCTCCGCCTCGACCTCAAGCGCTCGAGCGGGCAGACGCCCAGCGTGCGGGCGGCGGCGTCCACGGCGGCGCCCACTGATGGCGGAGCTGCCACCAGTTGGCGGAGGGCCCCTTTGGCCCGAGCTCTACCCTTTCGCTGCGCCCACGGCGCGCGACAACGCACGATGGCGCCTAGACGACGGCGACACCAGCTGGGCGGCTATCCCCCTCGCCTCTCGAGAAGGGGGCATCCTGCTGGCCCTGCCTGGTGCCTTTCGCTCTACAGCGGAGCTCGAGGCTGCCGAGGCGGATGGCTTTGCTGGGATGATAGGCCCCTTCCAGCTAGTGGACGTCCAGCTCCAGGGGGTCGCTTCACGGCCGCTCGCCACTACCGCATCCGTCCTCGTTATAGATATCGAGGTTGCCGAGCTCGAGCTCGAGTCGCTGTACCCTCTAGAGGTCGGCGACGACGCAGGCATCGTTCCCTTCGCCGAGGTGCGCAGCCGCGTCTATTGGCCGCATCCTTCGGGGGTTCGGGCGCTTCGCGAGGGCTACGCTCGTTTGCACGGCGCCCCGCCTACCGCAGGGGAAGAGCCTCTCCCAGGGGCCGATCGGGCTACCCCCTACCACTCTGCCGACGAGAAGGAGGAGCCCGAGGGGTTCGCGGCCGACGGGGAAGCCGACCGCGCGGCCCCAAGTGCGCGAGCCCCCGCGGTCGCTGGAGCGCCGCGCGGCCCGCCCGCCAAGCGCGCTGGCGCCGCCGCGCTGCCACGGGTCGCGGGTCCTGCTCCGATTGCTCCTGGTGCTCCTGCGGCGTCTCTGGACGACGGGGCTCCCGTGGCCCGCGCCGAGGTAGCTGCCGAAATGCGCGCCTTGCTTGCAGCCCACGCGGCCTCCACGATGGTCGGCGGACCCGAACCGCTGGGCCCCGCTCCGGCTGCCCGGAGCGCTCGGCCCGAGGTGCCTCAGCTTTTCAGCGACGAGGCGGCGCGCCTCGGGCTGGATCCTGCGGGGATCGAGGCCGTCTTGTCCCGCGCGCCCGTGGCCCCACATCGGGTCTCCGCGCGCCCCAAGGGACCCACCTCCGCGCTGGTCTCGGCGTGGGAGAAGGCGCGCTCTCTTGCTGTCCCTCGGGCCCCTTCGTCCGCTTCCGGACCGATGGGCCCCCCGCCGCCGCCTGGGCTAGCTCATCCCGCTGCGGTCGACGGCTTTGCCGAGGCGGGCGGCGCCGACGGGTTAGAGCCGCCCCTTGCGGCCAATCCGACGGACTTCAGCCTCATGCTTCAGTGCCTGCACCAGTCCCTTTCCTTGCAGCAGGGGCGGGGCCATCGCCCAGCATTCCACCCGCTTCTGGGGACCCTGAGCGACCAAGCTCAATCTCCGCCCGCGACCTCGGGCGACCCCGCGCACGCATCGGCTCAGATGGGGGGAATCGCTCGGAGGCGCGAGAGGCAGCAAGCGCTGATGCAGCACGGCCCCGACGTGCGAGGACTGATGAAGGAGAATTTGGCCCGCGTTCTGGGCGTGGAAGTCAGCGCCGTGACCCCCGTGGCCATGCATCAGTACTTTCGCGAGCACAGCCCCCTCGGGGCTCAGCCGTCGACGCGCGAGTTGTTGACGCATTTTGCCTTCCTCAGCGCCGAGCTGTGGCGGGCCTGCGAGGAGGGCAACCCCGAGAGGGTCCAGACCTTGCTGACTTGCCAGTGCATGTTCATCGACCAGTTGGCGGGGGACCGCGGCTACCTCGAGGCCGCTTGGTTCCTCACGGGGCTGGAGCCTCCCCCGTGTCGCGTGACCAGTCGTCACACGGAGCGCGAGGCCCAGACCCCGTTTTCACCCCTAGTGGATCCTCGCTGGCTGTCGGCGCAGGGCGAATACATGAAGGAGCTGCAAGCATTTCGGGCGCGCCTCGACGCCGAGCGCGCCGTCGCGCTCCCCAAGCATCCACCTCATCAGCCCAAGCAGCCCAAGGTCTCAAAGCCCCCCTTCAAGTCTCAGGGTGCTCCCAAGGCCCCGAAGGCGGTGCCCAAGAAGGACTGAAGATGCCCTTGGCGCCCGCCTTCTTGGAGGGGGGGCCTTCGCGTGGCCGGGGTACGCCGCCGCAGACAGTCTGCACCGACGCTGCTACGGCTGCTAGGCGTGTTTGGGCGCAGCGAGGGCGTGAGGGTAGGAATGCGCTCCTCCAGCGATGCTGTTGCGGCCCCGCAGGGAGGAGTACGTTCCGCCACCACGCCCCTCGCTCTGCTCCGAACCGCCCCTCGGATCCATTCGGCCATTTTGGCCGTCACCTGCCTCAGTCGAGCGCTCCCCCCATGGGGCCTGCAGCCCCTGAGGTTGGTGTTCTTGCTGGTGCTTGTTCTCCTTCAAGCACCCCTGCTGCTCTTGCCAACGTCGCGCCATTTGTCGCTGACTTGTCTGCCTTGCTGCGCCTGTTTCCAGGCGCGAACATTGATATCACCCACTGGGCGGCAGCGCTGTCCCAGGTTGGGATGGGTGCTCGATGTTCTCTTGGATCTTTCTCCCGCTCATCAATGCGTGCAATGGACAGGGACGACCCGTACCTTTTGGGGCCGCCTCCCCGCGATCCTTGGCCGTGCCCGCCTGCTCCACCTCTTGGTCCCCCGCCTGACGGCTTGTCGGCGAGGCGCAGGGAGCGCTGGAGATTGCGGCGCGCGGCGCGGACGCTCGCGCAGTATTCTGTTATTGCGTTGAACTGGCTCACTTTGGGTCATCCTAGCCTCGCTCCCGCCGAGGCTCGTGTCCGCGCCACGGTCTCGCCCTGCCAGGAGGGCGTCCGCACCCGTATCGAACGGTTGTGTCGGATCGCAGTTCGCCTCGCCCGTGGTGGCAAGAGCGACTTAGGTCGAGCCTTCGCCAAGTTCGACTCTACTGAGGTCTCGCTCCATGGCCTGGCCACCCCTGTTGCAGCTTTGGAGGCCTCCTTCACCTCCTCTTCTTCCGTGCCCGCCCCCATGCGGCACTGCCCGACCAGCGCTCCTTCCGTGCCTGGTTCGCTGGCGTCTGCGGCGGCTTGGGACTCCACCCAGGTCGAGCCCTTCGATTTAAAAGTCAGGGCGTCTCGCATTAAGTGGGATTACTCGCCAGTGTTTGATCCCATTCCATTTCTCTCTGACGCTCGAGTCCGCGAAGCGTTCATCAATCCAGAGGAGATGCGGCTCCCGGCGTCAGAGTGGCCTGCTGGCCAAAAGGGGGCGCGTGTCCATATGGACCGCGCCGAGCTGTGGGCCCTGCTCCAGAAGTGGGATGCCTGCGGCGCCCTGTACCTGACTCCTGCTTCGGACCTCGCCTGGGATGAAGCCTGCGGAGCTTTCAGGGTACCGAAGGACAGCGACTTCGACAGGCTGATCCTGAACCCAACGGTCGTGAACAGCCGCTGTGCCTCAATCTCGTCCAGCACCCAGCGCCTTGGCCAGGGTTTCCTGCTGTGCCGTTTGGGTCTGGCGCCTGGGGAGTGGC